AATTCCTTTCACAATAGCATCTAAAAAACTGAAATACCTAGGAATCAACCTAACAAAAGAAATCAAAGACCTCTTCTCTGAAAAGAGAGATTGAAGATGATATCAGACAATGGAAAGACATCCCTTGCTCCTAGGTCGGAAGAATCAACATAGTGAAAATGGTCATACTTCCAAAACTGCTATATAGATTTAATGTAACCCCAATTGAAATCCCAGCAGCATACTTCACAGACCTGGAGAAAACAATCAAAAAATTCATTTGGAACAAGAAGAGACCTAGAATACCAAAAGCAATACTAGGCAACAGAGGCATAGCAAGGGGTATCACAATCCCCAACTTGAAACTACTCTACAAAGCTACTATGATAAAAACAGCACGGTACGGGGCAAAGAAACAGACCCGAGGACCAGTGAAACAGATTAGAAGATGCAGAAACAACTCCAGACACACTCAGCCACCTCGTATTTGACAAAGGAGCCAAACACCCTCACTGGAGGAAAGATAGCCTCTTTAATAAATGGTGCTGGAAAAATTGGGTTTCAACTTGCCAAACATTAAGACTAGACCTATATCTCTCACCATGCACTAAACTAAAATCAAAATGGATGAAAGATCTAAACATTAAAACAGAAACACTAAACCGGCTGGAAGAGAGATTAGGTAGAACACTCTTGAAGCCATTGGCAGAGGAAAAGATTTCATGAAGAAAACTTCAGTTGCCTGTGAACTAGCACAAACAATCAACAAGTGGGTTTTCTTCTTACTAAAAGGATTCTGCACAGCAAGAGAAACCACCAGCAGTGTGAAGAGACAATGCATAATGTGGCAAAAATTTTTCACCAGCTGTCTCTCAGATAGAGGTCTACGATCTAGAACAACTTAAAAAAAATCAGAGCTCCCAAATTTAAAGAGCCAATTCAAAAATGGTCACCTGAAATGAACAGACATTTCTCAGACAAACAAGCAGAAATAGCATATAAACATATGAAAAAATGTTCAACATCACTGGTTATTTGAGAGATGCAAATGAAAACAATGCTGAGATTTCATCTCACCCCAGAAAGAATGGCTGCCATCATGAAATCAACAATAACAAATGCTGAAGTGGTTGTGGGGAAAGAGGAACACTTCTCCATTGCTGGTGGGAGTGTAGACTGTTACAACCACCGCAGAAATCAGTTTGGAGATTCCTCAAAGAAAATCACTGTGGAGATACCTCAAAGAACTAGGACTGGAAGCCCCATTTGACTCAGCTATTCCCCTGGTGGGTATCTTCCCCAAAGAATTAAAAGAATCATACCACAGTGATATATGTGCACCCATGTTCATAGCAGCACAATTTATGATAGCTGAAACTTGGAAACAGCCCAAATGCCCATCAACTGGAGACTCAATAAAGAAAATGTGTTTTTTTTTAATAAAATGGAGTACTACTCAGCCATAAAAAATGAGAAACTAGAGACATTTATAGCTACATGGATGCACATTGAGGCGATACTCTTAAGTGAAATAAATAGGACACACATGTGTAAATACCAAATAGTTTCTCTAGTGTGAGAAACTGAAAGTGTAAATAAGGACTAAAAGGTACAATAGGTAATGTGAAATAGGAAGAAAAGGCACAAAGGGGAAGGGGAAGTGGAAGGGGTAGGGAAAGGAAAGAAGGGAATGGAATTAATATGAGAAAATGAAAAAATGGAAACAAAGTCTTTGTAAATAGGGAGGAATGGAGGCATTGAAGTGAGGGCAGGGGAATGGGGAAAAAATAAGAACCAAGAGAGATTATGTAAAGGTGCAAATTTCCAATGATTAATATCATTATATTGTATACCTAAAATGTACCAATAAATTTAATCAAAAAACTATTTTTATAATTTTTTTTTGCTCTTTCACTCTCAACCTTTATGAGTATACTGTGGAGTTTTCCAGAATGTAATATGTATGAGATTATATTAAATTAAATGAAGAAACAGGTATGAGAATTAAACTGTTTAAAACATGTACTATCTCGGTGGGCCTTTCCCATTCTAATCCATTTTTTCTGCTGGTGTGAAAATGATGTTTCTGAGAAACCTGAGTACAGTAATTTCTAGTTTATAAACATTCAAAAGTGGAGAATTAAACCATAGCAAATTTTTGATTTGTGGGTTGTCTTCTAGTTGTTTTTTTGAGACTGGGTCACACCATGTATTCCAGGCTGGCCTGGAACTCACAGTGATCCTCCTACCTCAGTCTCCCAACTGCTGGGATTATAGATGTACAGCATTATAAATTTCTGAAAACTTTTATATATATTGAAAATATGAAGTACAAACTTAATGGTATAGATATTAGTTCAGAGTATTAGCCATTAAGAGTCATTATTACAGAATACTTGATAGTGATTAATCATAATTAATATAATTTAAAACTCATAATAATTAATAATTAACTCTGGTTACAGACTGCCTAGGTTTGAATCTTGATTCCAATTTTTACTAGATTTATGACCTTGTGGAAGTTACTTAACTTCTCTGTGCATCAGTTTCCTCATTTTTTTTTTTTTTTGGAGATAGGGATCTCACTTTGTAGTTTAGACTGGCCCTGAACTCACTATGTAGCCCAGGCTGGCCTTGAACTCATGGTGATCCTCCTGCCTTAGCCTCCCAAGTGCTGGGATTACAGGAGTTCACCACCACACTGGGCTAGTTTCCTCATTTTTAAATGAGGCAGTAGTACTGCCCTAATAGGGTTTTATCAGGATTAAACAGATTTAGAAATGTAAAAATCCTAAAATAGTTCTTGGTACATAGTAAATGCTATAGAATAGCTGTTATTTCTGTCAGTGGCAAAGATAAGTGTAAAGATTCTACACCAGATTAGTTGGAATTTATTTTAGTGTGAATACTTCCTATTTGTGTGATCTTGGGTAAGTTCCTAATTTCTTTGAGCCTTACTTTCCGATTTGAAAATGAGATATTAATTAATAGTATCTACCTCATAGAGATGTAAAGATTGACTTAAAACGTGTAAAAAAATAGTGCTTGACATATGGTCAATATTTTTTTAATATGATCACCATTATAAAGTGTTTTCAGGGATAAATGGTCCAATATTAATCATACTACCTTGTATCTTATTCAAATTTTGTTTTAAAATTTCCTAACCCTCAAAATTTTCAGAGTGCAAGTATCTGGGAACCAATTACTTTCTTCTTTTGGCCTGTCTTCTTTAAAAACTAAACCGAACCAAAAATTTCTTGTATAATATGCAGTCATTCTTGCTAACCAAGCAAACAACATACTTTATACTAATGTGAATGCACCAGAATTTTTGACTGAAGTTCACAGCTGAACAAGATGCTTGCTATTTCTTCAACCTGTAATAATACTGTCAATATCTATTATAACTTGAAATGTTCAAGCCCCCAAGGAAGACTGTAGTTACTGCACTGTCAACAGATATGTGCCTTACAAAGTGAAATTAAAGTCTATGCCTCATCTCCTCATACCAGGTTTTCACTTCATTTTACTCTCTTCTTCCTTTACTTCTCCCTCTTTCAGAACATAATATACTATGATGAAGTAAATGAGAAAAAGGTGATTTCAACAATTTAACACCTTGCTTTGATTATCAAAAATCTTGAGTGCTCAGTGTAGGATGACAACAAACACCAAGAGATAGCATCATGAGATAAATCTGATACAAATAAGTAATAATGTTATGAATTTTTCACAAAAATATTTTCTTTATAATACAAAAATAAATGAGTGAAATTGTTTTCTGTTTTAAGCACCTTTCAAAAAACTGAAATACTTTCATACCTTTGTTTATATCAATGAGTTGCTTCTTTTTCTTCTGACGTTCCAACTTTTCTTGTTCAGCTTTCTCTTTTGCAAGCTTTGCCCTTCTAGTCTTCTCTTCCATTTCTCTTCTCTTATTATTTTCTTTCACTGCTTCCTGTAGATATAAACAAAATTAAACAAATCCCTTTCCATCATTTATGTTTTTAAAGTTATATAAATATTCAGAGATGGGAAATTATCATAGTAGCCTCAAAGTACATGCATATACTTTTGAAAGAGAGAAATAATTAATTTTAAAACATCTGAAAAATTAGAAATAACTCAGTCTTCAATAGCTATTACCTGGAGTGCCAGAAACTTAGAGACATCATTATTACAGATTTAATAATAATATATTTTTGTTGAAATATGAAATCATTTTAATACATAAGAAATGCTTAATATGGTTCAGCAAGTATTTTATCACTTATTGTTTTTCTTTTATCTGCAAATAGAGTTTTTAAAACTATGTTATAGGATTTTTGTGCAGAGACATACACATTTAAGGTGTTTAGAACATAAATACACATTTAAAGTACTTAGAAAAGAGCCTAATATAGTTTAATCAAGAAACTTTAGTCTATGATGATGGTGGTAATGATTACATCTAATGATGCAAACCACAAAATAATCAGCGGTGTCAACACAGAAAAAAAGACCTGTAAGTTTAGTAGCTTTTTACATGAGATCTTTATAAATGCTGACATATAGTTCAAGCTGTTGTCTGTTTTATTTTGAAAAGATTATCTGTGGGACTCCTGGTGAATGAGTACACTCTAGTAGATGGTATTAGAAAAAGCTGTCACACAGTGATTACATGGAAGAACAGTATTAACTTCCTTGGAGTTCAGACAAGTCACCAATACAGAGATTTATCAACTACAAGTTCCTTCCATCAAGTTGTTCTGTTTTATTTCCTATTATGATTGATTAGATATGCTTCATACCATGTACAAACTATTTCCCAAAAGCTATTTTGTTCTAGAAACCCTACAGAAAAAGACTCAACAACAAGAATACATCTACTAGGCTTTGCCTGGAGGAATCTATATTCAAATATGTTTTTTTCACGTTAAAGGACACAGTATTTAAAAGAGCTCAGATAACACTTCCAAAAATTTTCTGATTTGCAAGAACTGATTACTTCCTACAAAATTTAAATTATTTTACCATTATCCCCTACCTATTGCCCTTTTTAGGCTAATATCTCCAGCAATTAATAGGCTAAGAGCACAAAACCATCTAGCTACTATAGACAAAGGCAAAGACCACTTAAAATAAATTGGAACAATCTGGGCATGGTGGCACACACTTCATAAGCCCAGCACTCTGAGAGGCTGAAGGAGGAGGATCCAGAGTTGGTGACTAGTGGACAACTTAATGACTTCGCCAGATCCTGATTCCAAAGGAAAAAAATAATACTGGGGATCTGGGGATGTGCCAAGGCCTTGGCTTCAATCCTCAGTACAGAGGAGGTAGGGGAAACTGGAACAATAGAATCATTAATTTTAGAATAGTTTCTCAACTTCAGCATATTGTCATTTTGAGCCAAGTAATTCTTTTTGTGGAGGCCTCCTATGCATTATGAGATGTTTAGCAACATCCTTGGCCTCTATCCACTAGACACCATAAGCATCTCACACAGTGTGACTACCAAAAATGTTTCCAAAGATTGTCAAATGTTACCTCAAGGGTAAAGTTGTCCAGGTTGAGAACTGCTAGCCTGAGGCAGTTTCAGAAGAATAATTTATTCACGTACATAAACAAATTATGCAGTGCTTACTCTGCTGAACCAAACTTCCTTTTACTGATGTGGACATGGAGTTCTAAAGGACTTTAAATATTTGCCCAAGGTAACACATTTACATAATTCCAAGTGTGGGAAGGAAACACTTATCTTTTTATTCTTCGTTTAGTGTTACTTTATTCTTTAAAGAGAAAATATAGACGTGTAACCAAAGCCACAAGCAACCAAAGAAAAAATAGATAAGACTTCATCAAAATTAAAAGCCTTTGTTCATCAAATGACACTGTAAAGAAAGAGGACACAAGGCCAGGGATTTAGCTCAGTGTTTCTGCCTCCTGCCTCAAAAGTGCAAGGTCCCCAGTTCAATCCACAGTACCAAAAAAAAAGACAGAGGACACAACCTACCGAATGGAAAAAAAATGTTTGCAAGTCATATATCTCATATATCTGAATAAGAATATATAAAGAGGGGCTGGGGATTTAGCTCAGTGGTTCCAGCACTTCCCTTGCAAGTATAAGGTCTCGAGTTTGATCCCCAGTACCAAAAAACCCCCCAGAGAATATATAAAGGGGCTGGAGATTTAGCTCAGTGGCACCATGCCTGCCTTGCAAGCACAAAGTCGTGAGTTCAATCCCCGGCGGG